GTTTACATTTCTCAACTGCAAATGGCCAAGTTAACTTTCTAATGGATTTGTGTACATTTTATGGTAGTAAATAATAAAACAGACTAGTATCTACATATTTTTGGTATTCATAACATACTCAACTTTTCCTTATTTTGGGGGATACTTCTTGGCTATGTGGCTCATCTGAAGTTTTCAGGTTGTTGCAAATCTCCAAACATTTTTCCAATATATTTATATATGAAAATAAATCTGTGTAAGTGGACCTGTGCGGTTCAAACTCACGTTGTTCACCAAACTGTATACTAGTTCTCTATCTTAGATTTCAAGAGTAAAAGATTCTACTTTGGGAGGACACGGGAGTGGGACCTACACGTATCAGTGACTTGGTGAACACAGATGACTTCTTGCCAGCTTAAGATCAATGGCTAATCTAACCAGCATATGAATCTCTCTTAATGTCGCCTGCATACATGTCATTGATGTTTGCCTTTAGGGTTCCAGTTTGGAACCTTCGACGTCTCTCCCTTAGTAGCACCTGCAGAAAAGTCTTTAAGCCTTCCTTAGTGCCAAAACATTTTGTCAGTTATGTTACAGTCTACCCATGACTTATATGGCTTAGCAATGGATCTACCGTGATCGAGTTAAGACCAGTGTGACTTTAACAGCCCAAGAGATTTTCGGTAATGACATCCTTCCAAAGGTTTACACTTTTATTAAGAACCACACATTTGGGAGGCTGAAGCTGGAAGATCACCTGAGCCCAGAGCTCAGGAGTGCAAGAACTGTATGGGCAACATAGAGAGATTCCACCTCAACCAACCAACCACCACACATTAAGTACTTTACACTGCCGCCTTAAAAAAAAAAAAAAAAAAAAAAAAGCACCCTTGAGAGGCCCCGCGCAGTGGCTCACACCTGTAATCGCAGCACTTTGCCAGGCCGAGGCGGGTGGATCACCTGAGGTCAGGAGTTTGAGACCACCCTGGCCAACATGGAGAAACCCTGTCTCTACTAAAGATACAAGATTAGCCTGTGTGGTGGCGGGCGCCTGTAATCCCAACTACTTGGGAGGCTGAGGCAGGAGAATCGCTTGAACCCGGGAAGTGGAGCTTGCAGTGAGATCACACTATTGCACTCCAGCCTGGGAAACAAGAGCGAAACTCCATCTCAAAAAAAAAAAAAAAAAAAAAATCACCCTTTAAAAAGGCAATATTCATTCTTACCTTGCAGGCCACATAAAGATTAAGTAAGATAAGGTGCAATGTTCTCTCCTTCAATTCTTCGCCTCCCAGTATCAGGAATTAAGCAAGTCCTTTTATTTGTAAAGCTGACCTACATGCTAAAACTAGAACTTTTTAACAATCCCAAACTTCACAAAGTAGATAGCGAAAGGCAGAAAGCTTTTCAAATCCAGGAACTACCAAGTCAGCACACAAGAGCCCCAGTGACATACTTGGATCATTTAAGAGTCTTTCAATGGCTAAAAATAATCACCCTAAGAAATTATCTGTAACTATGTGGACAACCACCAAATTGAAAATGGCTAGGGTCTATTTCAGAGACAGCATAACAGCAGTTGGTGAACACTAACTCCAGAGTGAAAAAACAGTTCCAATCCTGCCTGCCACTTATCACCTATGCTTATGGGGGCAAGTAACAACTTCTTTGTGCCGCAGAGTGACAGTACCTACACCTCAGAAGTTTTTAAAGATTAAGTGAATTGGCTCATTTTAAGCACTTACTATAGACCCTAGTATAAATACTTGTTAGCTGTATCTATTTTCACCAACATGTGAAGGAAGTCACCTATCAGTTATGTACATACGGAATCCCCACAAGGCAGCCCCCACTCCAAAGGGAGACTTAAACCTGATAGGCGTGACTAAAGAGAGCTAAACCTTTCCCTGGCTTGGTTTATTACATCTTCCCAGACCATGGGTAATAAACTCAAATGCACACACAGAGGCCAGGCGTGAAGCGAAGTCAGCAACCTAAGACAACTAAGCATGACAGACTGTTGTAAAAAAAAAAAGTATACTCCCCTCAAACGTGGTGACAATACAGCAGGTAGTTTTTACTATGTGGAAATACAGCCCCCAAAGCTAGCTAAAGTTCAGATCTTAACAATATAATAATCTGGATTACTTGGTGTCATCTCCTGAATTATAAATGTTAGTAACTAATCCCAATTCCTTTAAAAAATACTGTGCTGTCTAATCAAAGCATCTGGGAGTAGTCTTAGAAAGGTCACAAATTTGTGACCTTTGCTCCAAATTCTTTCTTCACCTCAAAACATAAAGAATTATTAATTTAGACATTCTAAGTACTCTGGAAACAGAAAAATATTCCTATTCTGGTCACCATAAACTGTTGCCAATTCATGGTAATCTTTGGTGAATATGGATCAATTCTCAACCACTAATAACATTCAACAGTAATATAGGAGGAGCATAATAAACCCCTCTAGTCACATTCTCCAATTATGTTTTGTAGACAGAGTTCACAAAAAAATAACTCAATGAATTTCTTAGAATATCTAGATTACACAGTCTAACAAAATAAAGCCAAAACTTCTACTATTCTTAAAAGCTCTATTCTCATGTTACTTAGCACCTTCTTCACAATATAACCAATCAGGGAGAAGCTCTTTAATGAATTAATTCTAACAAGGTTGTAACAATTCATCAGGTGGTAATTCAGGCTGGAATAAACACATTTACAATGAAATTGCGTCTTTAAAGGCAGAAAATTTACATACAATGTTGTAATTATAAAAATACCGTACAATCCTAGAATATATAATCCAGCGCATCCAAAAACAGCAATTAAAAGTCGTCATAATAGTCATCCCAAACACTGCACTCTCTCCTTTATACAGAAAACAGCACGTTATGTGTCAGTCTGTCTCCCTCCCTCATAAGAGCCAGGTGCCTCCAGCCAAGTCCATTCGTTCTACTACAGGAACTACATATAGAACCAACTGCTAGCTTCCAAACTGATTTAACACATACATTTTCCTTAATTAAAGCAAATCTTCCCTGTATTTAATTGGAGTCAGATTTTACAGCATCTTATTAAAAAATCCCAGAATAATTAAAACAACCAGTTCAGAAACATAAAGAATATTTTAACCAGTTAATCTGACAAAATAATCGAGGTTAGGATAGTCCAAAGGACCATCAAAAGCCAATTCATAACTTGCCCTGGAGAATGACCAATTGAGTTGATTCCAATTCAGAACAGAGATATTCAATGAATAGTATCTCATGGACTAAATACTTATAAAGTGTAAAGATAATACTCTTATTTTGGACAAAACTATTGATTTCAAAAAATGTCGTAACCTATGCCCACTTTAAAAAAAATGCAGCGAAACAAGGCACATGATAAAACTTCTTAAACACATACAAAAACTGCGATCTATCTGCTGAAAAGGATGCATAGTTGCACACCAGAGTTACCATTACATTGGGTCAAGGGTTAAAAGCAGTGATTTTGAAGGTATGGCCCGAAGACCATTATCATTCCTGTTAAAAATGTACCCAGACCTAATGAATCCAAAGCTCAGAAGAAATACACCACTTAAATCACACCCTTCCAAGGTAAGCACACTTAAATTTGAAAACCACTGGTTTAAGAGTTAGACTAGTAAGGACAGTCAGTAAGACACAAATACAAACTAAAACACTAATAAATTCAGACAGATCAATTAAAAAGCTATCAGTTTACCAATCATATAAAAGCATTCCCTTTCTTCTTTGCTAGTAAGCTTTTATCAAAAAATTAATGAAAAACGTAGTTTCAGCCAGCCAGGAAGGCAAACAGTATAGAACAAGTTGGAAAATCCTAAGATTCTGGAAGAAACAAAATGTTTTCCCACAATTGCAAAAGTAGAGAATAGATCATCAAATGCTTATCTCTTACTTTGAGTATTTCCACAATACTCTATGATTGATTAATGAACAGTTTTTCATCAGGCCATGATTCTGTCCTTAAGCTTGATTTTGCCCATTTGTTGTCCATTCCACGTTGTTCTTTTAATCATCTGCTTAGGTCTTCTACAGTAAGTAAGCAAGAGAATGCTGAGATGGCACTTAAGTACCATACCTGTGAGGCCAAGATTGCTACTGGCATACCCAGTGCTCTACACCCATGTAACTGCACTACTAGCCTTGGCAGCCATCTTGAAAATGATGCCCGGCTCACAAGGAAGCCCATGGAATACTGTGCGTCTACTGCACGTTACCACCACCACTGCCACAAACAACCCGAAGGGTAAGTCCTAAAGACGTATCTGCAGCTTTACCTTCAAACAGGAAGAACAATGTCAAGTTACTAGTGACTATGGCCACTCTAATAAGCTACAGCCAGGGATCTAGCAGAAATTGACTTCATCAGCATGATTTTAGGACAAGGAAGAATGAAAAATAAGAACTGAAGGAAAAAAGCCATTTTCTTGCAGATATATTATTTATGAACAAATAAAAACAGTTCTCTCTGGTCAAAGCTGTGCTAATATAAAATTTATCTCAGGTATTAAAATGAAACGTGAAACAAAGGCAATACAACCTCTCGGTAAAGATGACAAAACCTCATATACTTGACACGTCAAATCCTCTTACCCCCAAAATGTTAACAAGGCGTAAATATCCGATGTCAGTGGATCACATTCTCAAATACCGAGTTCAATAAAGTAGAAAAGGATGACAAGAATAAAAATCTACTGGACCGTACTTTCCCGTTTACCCTGTTAAGGAATGGCTCATTCACTCCGCTTGCCTTTTAAATTGCTTTGTGCTGTGACGAAGCCCTTGAAGTTAGCTTCAAATTAATATTTAGCTGCAAAACAAAGGCATTCTCTAAACCCAAATCCCTCCAGTCGTCAAGGAAAACAAACAAACAAAAAATCACATTAATACACCAGAGGTAGTAAACGCCTTTCAGAAGAGGACTGTGGATTGGCACAGCAAGAAGCAAGCAAGAAGGTAGGATGGAGGCTTCAGAGCCCAGCAGCTCACCTGTTGATGAAACCATATCCGTTCCTTACATTGAACCATTTTACTGTTCCCAAAACCTTCGTTGCTGGAAAAGAAAACAAAGCAAAACAAGCCACGATTACCAGCTATCCTTTTCCAAACCCGTCTGGCTTCGGCATCCGGTCCCTCGCACGCTGCCCGCCGCGGCCACCTGACAGCCCTTTCTCTCCACCGCCCGGGTGCGGGTCCGCGCC